CCGAGGGGCGGGGACAGAGGACGCGGGGGAGGGGCAGTGCCCCAGGGTGGAGCGCGAATGAGATCGAGGGGAGGAGACAGAGGACGCGGGGGCGGGACCAGTGCCCCATGGCGAGGGGCGGGGACAGAGGACGCGGGGGCGGGGCAGTGCCCCATTGGTGGAGCGCGAACCCGGGAACGATGGGGCGGGCCCTGGAGACCGAGGGGCGGGGACAGAGGACGCGGGGGCGGAGCAGTGCCCCAAGGGTGGAGCGCGAACCCGGGAACGCGGGGGCAGGCCCTCGAGACCGAGGGGCGGGGACCTAAAGCGGGGGAGGGGCCCCCGGAACGCAGAGGCGGGACTTGGAGCTGGAGGGGCCAGCGACACCTCGACTGAGGGCTGGGTCCCAGGGAGCCAAGTGTCTGCAGCGCCTGAATCCGGACTGCCGCCTGGACTGAGGCTTGTGCCAGTAGAGGCTGTCGGTAGCCCCGAGGCGTGATCTGCCCTGCAGCTTTTCTTCCGTCTTTGGGGCGCTGCTGTGGCGGAGGCCTCCCCTAGGGTCGGGTCTAGGTCGGATGTGCAGAGTGTCCCGGAGGGGACCTAATAGGCCTTAAGTTCTGCCGCACTTTAGGCCCCCCTCTTGTCTTGCACTTTTGCTCTGCTCAGAAATGTCCTCCGATACGCCCTCCTGGGTGTCCACTCGGGATACTTAAGAATTAAATCTAGTCGCTGAAAACAAAGGCGATGTTGGAGAGCAGGCTGCTTTCTGAAACCGAGGGAAGCCTTGGTCGCACTGCTCAGTGGCGTGCGTTCAAGAGGAGAGCCTGCTGCATTAGGGCTGGCACCGAGCTGGAGAGCGCTAAAGAAACCTGCCGCCATGGCGCGGGATGCTTTGACCCTGGGTGTTCAGCCACCTCTGAAGTTTCCTCCTCCAGGAATGTGACCACTCTAGGGGCTGAGGCAGCAAAATCAGCTCCTCTCGGCAAGGGGAGGGGGCTGCGGTGGTGACAGGAGCACAGCTGGGCTTGGCAAAACGCCTTCTGAGACAGCCCCTGCTGGGTGTTACTCATGTCCCTCTCTGTTGCAAGTGACAGAAACCCAAGTCAGGCTGGCTTAGACCAAAAAGGGGGATTTTCTGGTTCCCTTGCAAGAAAGTTCAGGGATAGATCTGACCTCGAGCTTCACTGCGCTCAGTTTGGATGAAGTGATCGGGCCTGGTCTGCACGCCCCTCTGGCTCCCATGGCCTCCTCACTTGATGGCGAGAATGCCCACCTCCCCACTCCACCCCACCCTGGCCACGCTGTACCACCAACTGAAACCCTACCCTGCTGGGGGAAGTTTACTCCAAGTGGGAAAGCCCTTCCAGAGGAGAAAGCCCTGACGGCCATGAGGCTGTCAACAGCCTCGGGGTGTGGCCCCCAGGCGGAAGTGGAGAAACCGGATACTGATATAGACCAGGATGTTGGGAGGTGTCGCTATTACTAATTTCATTGCCACCGTCCTAACCTGGTATTATTCCTAGGCATATGTTCCACCTTGGTGGAAATTAACCCAAGCGGTGGCTAAACAGCACTGCACCAGAAACAACCACCAAAAAAAAAAGCCAAAACACACGAGGAGAGGGCTGACTTGGAAAGGACAGGCCGCAGCGGGCCAGAGGTGGCGAACGCGGCCAGATCCCACTGCTGGCTGTGGCCCCTGGAAGCGGGTAGGGTGCATGTGCTGTAGCACTCAGCAGCAAACGCAGACTGTTAACACACACGACGCCGGCCAGTCTGGAAGTCCTTACGCTGAGTGAAAGCAGCAAAGCAAAAAAAAGAACATACTGTATGATTCCATTTACATAAAACACTAGAAAGTACTAACTAATGTATTCCTAGAGAAAGCGCGTCCATGGTTGCCTAGCAATGGGACGGAGGGAAGAATGGGTTGAAAGAGCACGAAGAAGCTTCGGAGAGAGTGATGGAAGTGTCTGTGGCTGACGATCTCACGCATGGCGTCAGAGCTAATAAGCTTGTATACTTACCGTGCTGTGCACTCTGCATGTGCTCAGGTGACCCCAGGAGCCAGGATGGCCATCCTTCCCACCCTGACTCTGGGCTGGGCTGCATGATGTGCCCAAGGGAGGCAAGCAGAGGGCTGATGAGCACTCGCTCTTTGGGGTCATCCTTCTGGAATGTTCCCTCTAGAAACCTGGCTCTCTTTTGTGAGGGAGAGGCCACGTGGAGAAAAACTAGGGCACCCAGTCTGCAAGGGTTCCAAGACCTTGAGGTACATGGGAAGGTCCCTGGGCCCTTCCAGCCCAGCCCAACCCAGCCCCCAGCTGGGGTACCCACAGAAGAAACCGCAGGGCCAGAGAAACCACCCAGCTGAGCCCAGCCACCCCAGCACACAAGCGAGAACATGCTAGCATTGTCAGAAACTTGCATGTGTCGGAGTGGCTGTCATAGCAGAGTGTGTCATCCAGGTGTGGCCCTCAGCCTGAAGTCCCTGCAAGAAAGACCAACACTACAGCTCCAGAGGGAGCTCCTCACACTCCATGGGCGTCCGTCCCATTCTGAGGACAGTTTCTCCAGGCTTTAGTTTCCTGTGGGCTCTCCACACCCTTCCTTTCCAGTCGACCTGAAACGCGGTGTCTATGGAGGAAGGTGCAGGCCCTGTCAGTGCTCCCTGTTGTCAGTAGGAGAGGCTGGGGCTCCACGCGAGGCATGTTCTGCTGGGCCTACTCCTGCCCATGCTGCCCAGCGTGTGGGGATTCACCTTGGAGGACACACCCTGGGGAAGTCGGTTCCCTCCAGGCTCCCCCATCGCTGCTGGCACATGGGTGCAGACGGGGGTCTTCATCTCCAGGCCGGGGTGCGGAGAGGCAGGCACCGTGGCCACGTGCTGGCCTCCACCCTGTCTCCTGGGGCCCTGCTCCTCCGTCTGCTCCCTGGACTGCTGTCAGAGCAGGGACTGAAGTAGAAAGGCGGGATTGCTGAAATCCTGTGACCTCGGTGGGCAAAGACCCTGTGCTGTATTTCACAGCTAAATATGGGGCCTCGCATGTTGCTGCAGCCCCAGCTGGGCTCCCTGTGGCCTGGGAGCAGACAGGGGGCCCACACGTCATCATATTCTGGCCCTGCAGTGAGACCCGGATCCCTTCCCGTGGACACCATCAATTCAGTTCGGTCTTCCCAAGGCCGCTGCAGTCAGGGAGAGACTTGGCATGATAATGCGCCCTTCATGTGACCACGCTCGGTTTCAGTGGTCATGATTTGCCCTAAAGAATCTCTCCTGATGGGCTGAAGAAGAGAAATTTCATTTTTTTAAATGTTTTTTTTTTTTTTTTC